ATGGGGGTTATCAGTTGTGGCCTCCCAGAGGCAGTGACTTGTGAGCTTACCTTAGAAGACGCATGGGCATGATTAGGCAGGCAGGGCTGGAGCAAAAGCAGTCTAGGCAGAGGGAACAGCAAGTATAAAAGCATGAAGATAAAAGAGAACACGGTACTTTTGGATAATTCATATTTACAAATTTATATAACATTTGTCTGTTCTGAGTGCTCTAGAAATATTGGGTTAATTCTCATAACAATCCAGTAAGGGAGGGTTCATTAATGGGAGAAGGCACTGAGGCACAGGAGGCCAGAGTGCACTGGGGCAGAGCCAGGATCTCTACACAGGCAGCCTCCAGACTCCAGAGGGTGTGCTACTCCCTGGCTGGCACCCAGGGCTCCAGGGCAGGGGCAGGCACAAGCCCAGAGATGTCACTGGAAAGGAAACAGAGGTGATATTATGAAGGATAATTAAAGGAGGGGAGGGATGTGAGCACATTTCCGCATTAGAGAAATCACTGGCTAATGGTCAATTCCTTCTCTCTTCCCTACTGTCCATCTAAACTCCCTAAATCCATGTTGTTCATGGGGCTCATTGATCCACCCAGTCCTGCAGATGAAGGATAAGGAATGTGCAATTTCTGTGCAAAGTCCAGACATTCTCACAGGCAGATCCATGGCCATACCCATCAGTGTCCCCTAGTCCACTCGGCCCATCAATGAAATGATTCTATGACTCATTTTTCTTTAATCACATAAACTATTTCCTTCTATTTTCTTTTTTTAAGATTTTATTTATTCATTCATGAGAGACACGGAGAGAGGCAGAGACCCAGGCAGAGGGAGAAGCAGGGTCCATGCAGGGAACCCGATGCGGGACTCGGTCCCAGGACTCCAGGATCATGACCTGAGCCGAAGGCAGGCACTCAACCGCTGAGCCACCTGGGGCCCCAGAAGGGAGAGATTTTAAAAGCATGGACTGGGGCACCTGAGAGGCTCAGCGGCTGAGCGCCTGCCTTTGGCTCAGGTCATGATCCTGGGGTTCTGGTATCGAGTCCTGCATGGCACTTCCTGCATGGACCCTGCTTCTCCCTCTGCCTGGGTCTCTGCCTCTCTCCATGTCTCTCATGAATAAATAAAATCTTTAGAAAAAAAAAAATCCCTCCCTTCTGACTTCCTCATTGCTGTCTTCCGTCACCAATCTGTCCCAGGAATTTTCTCTCAGAGGACTGCAGGGCCAATTTCCTGTTTTCTTGCCTTCTTCCCTGTGGTGAACAGACAGTCCCCCATAATCCCATCCTCTGGTACTTGCACACTTGTGAGAAATCCTCTCCCCTTGAGTGTGGGTGGGACTGGTGATTTGCTTCTAATAGAGGACCCCAAAGGTGGTGGGATGTTTTTCCATGATTACATTACATAGGGCTGTAGTATCTGACTCCCCAGGAGACTTTCCCCTTTGTTGGTATTGATGAACCAAGAAGCCCCCTTTTCAAGGAACTGAGGGTGGCCCCAGCTGACAGCCAGCAAGAACGTAAAGCCTTCTCTCTGTCCAACAGGTCACAAGGAACTAAATACTATTGGCAGTCTTGTGTCTCAGAAGCAGATCTTTCTCCAGTTGAGCCTTAGGATGAGATCACAGCCCTGGCTGACACAAGGACTGTGGGTTTCAGATGAGCCCCTGAAGCAGAAGACCCTGTAAGAGATGTGCCCAGACTCCTAACCCACAGAAACTATGGGATAGTGTGTGTGGTTTTATTTTTTCTTTTTTTAATTTTTATTTATTTATGATAGTCACACAGAGAGAGAGAGAGAGGCAGAGACATAGGCAGAGGGAGAAGCAGGCTCCATGCACGGGGAGCCCGACGTGGGATTTGATCCAGGGTCTCCAAGATCACGCCCTGGGCCAAAGGCAGGCGCTAAACCGCTGCGCCACCCGGGGATCCCGTGTGTGTGGTTTTAAGCTGCTGAATTGGTGGTAAGATTGTTACACAGCAGTAACTCATACATTCCCTTTCTGACTTCTGGCCACATCCTCTGTCTAGTTAGAGGCATTCTCAGCTCCTCTGGCCTTCCCTAAATCCACAAAGCCTTTCCTTCCTCTAGGGCACAGTTTACTCACTCACACTATTGAAATTCATGCAATAAAGAATCCCTAGCTTTGTACCTCTTCTGGCCGTTGCCTCCCCATACCCAAAATATGGCCCTAGATATCTAACTACTGTCACGAGGGGTGGCAACAGGTGGCAGGTGAACCACCTGCTTAAAACTTTGTGTCTAATACCTTCTGAGGTCGTCCTCCTGATATCACCTGGCCATTTAGATCCTCTGTCTTTCCCTCCCTAGAGAGATCTTTGCCTCCTGGTCTACAGGGGAAAGCAATCTGGCCCTCAGGTCCCTGTTTAAGGCTGGAAACTACTCAAATGGAGCTCTGCAAATGGAGCTGGTGCCAATTCAGTCATAGGAGTTCACTTCCTCTTGGTTTGCTTTTTCTTAAAGCTAGTTTCTCTTACACAGAAATACTTGAATACACTCCCCTCATTTTTTAAAAAGATTTTATTTATTCATGAGAGACAGAGAGTCAGAGGGAGGTGTAGGCTCCCTATGGGAAGCCTGATATGGGACTCAATCTGGGACCCCAGGATCACAACCTGAGCCAAAGGCAGACATTCAACCACTGAGCCACCCAGATGCCCTGAAATTCAGCCTTTTAAAATGGACATTTCAGTACAGATGGTCCCCAGTGCACAATGGTTCTACAAAAATAGAGAGAAATCCTTAGCCCTATCTCTAAAATCCCCATTCATCCTGAAGCCTGGGCCTCTCTCCCATTTGCCTGAATAAGCATGGTTCAGTGTGTTCTCCCAGATCGATCGATCGATGTTTCTTTCTTTCTTTTTCTTCTTTTCCTTTTTTTTCCTCCTTTCTTTTCTTTCTCTTTTTTTCTTTCTAGAGAGTGAGCACAAGCAGCAGGGGCAGAGGGAGATGGAGAGAAAATCTCAAGCAGACTCTATGCTGGGTGCACAGCTGGATGCGGAGCTTGATCTCACAACCCCGAGGTCACAACTTGAGCTGAAACCACAAATTGGATGCTTAATCAACTGCGTCACCCAGGAGACCTCCTCCAGTTCTTTTTCTAGCCATTCAATACATAAATGTATCTGATGAAAATGCCTACCTCATGGTTTCCTTCTTTAAAACATAAAAGGTATTATACTGTACATGCTCATCTGCAATCTAATTTGCAGAAAATTTACCAATGTGTCTTGGATCTTTCCACATTAGTACACATGGTTAAATCTCATTCTTTTGTTGCTTTATGGTATTTCACAGTACTGATGGGCACGGACAGGATTTTCACCTGGTCTCACAAATACCACAATCTTAGTTATATAGCTTAGGTACATGGGGTAGTTTTCACCAGGACAGAAATTGTTGGGTTAAAGGACATGATTTGATTTTTAGAAGATATTGGCAAACTGTCCTCCAATATAAGTATACCGATTTACAAGCTCACTGGCAGGAAATGCCAACACTTCACAAACTTCTTTTTGTTCACCTGCTAGATAGAAAATGGTCTTTTGCTGTTGTAATCTGCAGTTTTTGGATTATAAACATCTGTTTAACATTTTTTTTTGGCCATAACTATTTCTCTGAATCATGTGTTCATGGGTTTCTGCCCATTTTCTTTTTTTTTCTTTTTGTTTGTCCGTAAGTCTTAATGATCTATAGGAGTTCTTTCTATAGTCTTTATATTGGGACTTTTTTGTCAGTTTTGTCCTTTTTTCTCATTTGCCATCTTGTCATTTAATTTTGTGTATTTGTGCCTTTGTCCTAGAAAATTCTTAAATCTGATTAACTGTTCAACTTATAAATCTTTCCCTTCATGGCTTTTAAAAAAATTTATTCATGAGAGACATATAAAGGCAGAGACATAGGCAGAGGGAGAAGCAGGCTCCCTGCAGGGACCCCGATGCAGGACTCCACCCCAGGACCCCGGATCACAACCTGAGCCAAAGGTAGATGCTCAACCACTGAGCTACCCAGGTATACCTATGGCTTTTTGTTTTTAGGTCTCATTTAGAGAAACCTATCATAAAATCACAAATATTCTGTTTTCATTAATACTTCTACAGCTTTAATATTGGGCCTTAAGTTGTAGATGAGCTAGTTTTAGTGAATAGTGTGAGGTAGGGTTCTATTATTATAGATTTTTTATTTTTTTTTTTATTATAGATTTTTAGTGAGCGAGCGAAAAGTGCACAAGCCCCAACATGTGGCTCAATCCCATGACCCGGAGATCATGACCTGAGTCAAAACCAAGAGTTGGATGCATAACCAACTGAGCCACCCAGGTGCCCCATTATTGTTTTTTAAAAGATTTTATTTATTCATGAGAGACCCAGGCAGAGGGAGAAGTAGGCTCCATGCAGGAGCCCGACGTGGGACTTGATTCCAGGACTCCAGGATCAGGCCCTGGGCCGAAGGGAGATGCTCAACTGCTGAGCCACCCGGGGATCCCTTTTTTTTTTTTTAAAGATTTTATTCCTGAGAGACACACAGAGACGGGCAGACACAGAAAGAGGGAGAAGCAGGCTCCATGCAGGAGCCTGATGCCCCATTATTATTATTTTTCCCACTATTATTTTTAATTGGTAACTGACACAATCCCATTTATTGGTTAGTCCACCAGTTTGAAAGTCCATCTTTATCATACATTTCCGTGTAAAAGGATCCATTTCTGAACTCAGTTCTGTAAAATTGACAGTTCCATATAGTTTTGCTTGGTATCTACACCACCTCTTCATAGGGCTCCAGTCCCATTTAATGTATCTGTCCTCTACAACTGTACAATATCACCTTTGTTTCTAGTGCTTGGGCAAGAACCTCTAGCTTTGAACACAGTTGAGATGTAGGGGGATTATCAGTGTTACAGTGACTGTATTCACATCTTGGACATTTTCCATATATCCTTACTCTCCCCTGGCCTTTAGTCCCAAGAGAAATCCAGCTAGACACCAGTAGCCTAAATGCTATTTATTGAAAAGAGCAGAGAAGAGAGAGTACAGGCTCCCTAGGCACAGGATGGAATAAAACAAGCAGATTAAGTCCACCTCCTGCTCAGCATATTCTCTTGTTGCCCCACAGGGCCATCTTGTTGTTGATGGGCATCTTCAGGAAGCGGTCAGACTGCATGTAGTTAGCTATCTTCTCCAAAGCCTGAAGGGAAAGCACACCAAACCTGATACTCTAACCCAGTCCAAAAGACCCATGCTGAACCAGTGACACTCACATACTGCCTGCCTCTATACCACCCCCCCTTCCTCCCTCCACTACCATTTCATGTAGACAGTGCTTTAGGGTGTAGAAGCCTAGGCCTTTTCTCAAGACTTGTAGGTTTAGAAGTGTACCACCACTGATCCCTTTACACAAATGCTGGTGTTGGAGAATCTACACAGTGGGGTCAGTATAGGGAGCATCACCTCAAAACGGCACATGAAAGCCTTCAGATTTGGAAATTCATCCAGGCATTTGGGCTCAAACATACGGTTCTGATCCAAGACATCATAAGTGAGGAAATCCACAAAGGTGAGCTAGAAGAACAGTAAGATGGTCAGGTCTGCAGAGATCCTTAATCCTGGGAGATAGAAAGGCATCTTTCCTCTTTCCTTTCTTCCTACCTTTTCTCCTGCAAACCAGGAGAATTTCCCCAGGAACAAGGAGAACTGTTTCAGTTGTCCAGGTAGCTGTTCCAAGTACCGAGGCTTCAGTTTTTCCTGGGAGAGAAGGAAAAAGAGAGTAAGAGCACAGCTGTCAGCGTCTTCAGAGCTAGTCAGGGCATGGGCCAGTGGGGGACACTCAGTGGTCCCCTTCTCTGCGTGCCTCCCTCTTACTGCCTACAGTAGGGGTGGCAGGACAGAAAGGGGGAGGGGCCAACACCAGAGTCCTATAACAAATGGACCCCCCCAGGCCCCCCCTTCCATAAAACAGTTCTTTCCTATTCTGCAATCTGCAGACTGGGTTGGTGGGAAAGCAGAAGCAGCAGGAAGCAGCGGATGAACCCCTGGGTTCTCAACACTCCTTCTCCTCGATGCCTGCTTGCTAAGGAAACTCACAAGGTCAGGACTGTAGCACAGTTGTACCAGCTGTATGCGGAAATCCATTATTTGGTTCTCCATGATGTCCACTCGAATTCTTTCTTCTTCAGTCTCACCACCTATACGCCAAAAGATGAGAAATCACCTTTGGAATGATCCACTTCCAGGAAAACTGCCAGCCTGGCCTCCCTCCCTGGCCCTACGCCACTCACACATATTGTGCTTGCGAGCGATGTAGCGCAGGATAGCATTACTCTGGGTGATCTTGTTCTTACCATCCATGAGGTAGGGCAGCTGGAAGGAAAATGACATGTCAGATGAACAACCAACTCTCTCTTGCCTCCCTGCCTCTCTCTCTCTCTCTCTCTCTCTCTCTCTCGGGGAACATGAGACTTGCAGAAAGTGAAAAGTAGAGAGAAGATGCTGTGTTAGGAGGAAGAAGAAAATATGTGGAAAGTAGCAATTGGGTCCCCACCTGATTCTAGACCAGAATTCTTAATCTCTCTGTGCATGTGTATGGGCATACCACAGACCCTTTGTCAGAATAAGATTTTTAAATGCATAAAGCAAATTACATGCTTTCGCAATTTATAAAACATCAAAGAAACAAAATCATAATCAAGTAATATGTGCCTATTGCATTACATAACAAGGCAAGGCATAACAACTATCATAATTTCATAGTATGATGCGTATAAATAATATTTTTGCACAGTATCTGCCACATATGTAATATGAAAATACTCAATTTCTACTAGTGACAAAGTCACAGCCATGGCTAATCACCAACGTCACTTATTACCCAGATTCACAATAGAAGGAATTGTTAACTTTTTTAGTGGTTACTGTTAATGAAAACTTTTTCTCTCCATTCGAGTTCGGGCACCCTTGCTTTCTACTTCTCTTAGCCAGCTTCCGAGCCCCCATTCTCGGTGTCCCTAGCCCAGAGAGGAAAGCGGCACGGCTATACTGGACGGCCTTGCCGTCTGCCCCCTCTTCTCCCAAGGCCACCTACGTTAGGGAAGTCCAGGTCGAGCTTGAATTTCACATCCAGCCATTGGCTTTTATCATAGTCCGGAGCTGTAAGAGAATGCGGGGCCCAACCTCCTTAGCAGCCCGCCTGAGAGGAGTGGAGAGATCTAGCACCTCGCACCCCGGGCCCCCAAGGGTGGCCTCTGCTCTCCGGGCCCACTCGGTGGGCCGCTCACACGGTGGGACGCGGCTTGGAAGAAGCTGCATCCGTGCGTCCGGCGGGGGGCTCGGCGCTCCCGGGTGACTGGGGCCGCCTCGCACCCGCCTCAGGCGTGGAGCCCCTCTGGGCACAGCGACGGGGGGCGGGGGGCTCGCGCGGGCCGCATTACCTTCCCCGCACGTGTACCGTCTCTCCTCATAGCAGGTATCCGTGAACTCCAGGAGCATGCGGATGGCGTGCGCCAGCTGGGGCAGAAGACCCCGTCAGCGCCTGCGCGGCGCCCCCGCCCCGCCCCAACGTCCCCTGCCCGCCTGGCATCCCGCCTCGCACGCCGCCGCGGCGCTCGTTAGGCCGCCCGCCGCCGCCCCGACATCGCCTCGGCGGCCGGCTGCCTCAGCCGTCGCGGCCGCACGGCGGGCCCGGGCCCGGGCGGGGAGCTCGGCGGCGGCGGGCGGCGCTGAGGCGACGGACGCCGGCTCCGCTCGGGGGCCGCCACCCTGAGGTCCGGTCGCGGGGCCCCTGCCTCCGCGACCCAGCGGCTCGGCCGTCGAGCCGGCACTCACCCCGCGAATATCCCAGTATCCCAGAACCATGTTCGACTTGGACAACGACATGGCGACGGCACCTCCACTCCTTCGACGACTGGGGGTCGCCAGCGAACGGGCGGAGCTTTATACCCGACGCCAGTGGGCGGGGCCAACGCCGCGGCTCTGACCCCGCCCCCGCCGGCTCTGACCCCGCCCCCACCGCCGGCCTCCGCTTGGTCTGCGAGCCCGCGGGCCGCCCCGGGGCTGCGGGCTCTGTGCTCGGCGGACCGGGGCTGCGCGGGCGGCCGGCGGCCCGGCGCTGAGGGCCCTGGTGAACCCCGGACGGTGACGGCCAGGCCATAAGCACTTCTCCAGCCGGAGGGCTCGGCGCTGTAGACAAGCACCGAGAGGTGATAAAGGAACGGTTCAGCTTGCAGCGTCGGTGGCCCCGCTCCGCGCTCCCAGGGAAGCTCTGCTCTTACCGGGGTTACGATGGCTTCAGCAGCCTTGGAAGCACGGGTTCCCTCTCCGCCCGAGCACACGTTGGCCGTCTGTTAGCGAGTGACCTAAAAGAAACATTTCAAACTACAGATAAGAGTAAGGATCTCCCTACGTTCTGTTCTCACACCTCTGAAGCCTGCAACATTGCACACAGTAAAAGCCTGAGATAAAGTTTGTGATTTTCTGAAATGTCCTTCATCGTGGTGATTTTGTGACTCTTGATGTAACAAGAAACCACATCTAACCCGGTAGTAAGCATTCCTTCTAAGGGGCACTCTTCTCTCTGCAGATGGTGTATCCCGGGCTGCTGTCCCGACTTGGGCTCCAATAAAACTCTCTCCCCCGCCCCCTTTTCTTTTTTCTTTTTCTTTTTTCTTTTTTCTTTTTTCTCCTTTCCTTTCCTTTCCTTTCCTTTTCCTTTTCCTTTTCCTTTTCCTTTTCCTTTCTTTTTCTTTTTCTTTTTCTTTTTTTAAGCAGTTCTAAAAGGTTTGTTGTTAGGCGTTGGCAGTTCCTGGCGTAGCAGGCACGGAGAAACGTATCAGAGAAACTTACCTGAGGACAGTGGGGGCCTCCTGGAACTCGATGCTCGGACCCCTGTGCCCCTCTTGCCCCTCTGACTTCTCAGTGCTCACAGGTGTATCTGCCGAGGTCTCCTAGTATGCGGACTCGTCAATCAATTGAAGCTCCTGACTTTTATTCTAGAGGCTAAAGGCTACCTGGAGGGCAGCCCCGGCGGCGCAGCGGTTTAGCGCCGCCTGCAGCCCGGGGCGTGATCCTGGAGACCCGGGATCGGGTCCCACGTCGGGCTCCCTGCGTGGAGCCTGCTTCTCCCTCTGCCTGTGTCTGCCCCTCTCTCTCTGAATAAATAAAATCATAAAAAAGTAAAGTCTACCTGGTAATGTTCTGTAGCTGGGAATAGCCCAGGGGGAGGAGTTGATGCGTTGGTTGTTTCACTTTGGCTTTATACTAATATCATTAAAGTTTGAATAAATTTTCTGACTAGAAGTGGGAGAGACTAAACCGTTCAGTTCTGAAGAGAAGGGACACTTGTCCCTTCCAGCCAAAGCCAGTCCTGCTTTCAGGTGACTGAATAACTAGCAGAAGTGTCTGAGGATATTCCTCAAGCCCTGTTAGGGTCCCATCCATCTGGTAAGGTAATGGCTCCTCTGGGGTAGCAGACAGAAGGATTGCTCATCCACTGCTCCAGATCCCTCTTGGTGGTCTTAGAGCTTGCTGGGAAAAACTGAGACACCTAAAAGTGTATCACAGCTGTTGGGAAAGTGCCCCCCATGAATAGTACCCTCTTGATCCACCACACTTAATATCCTTAGATTTTATTCAAGCCTTATTCTAACAATAAAACTGAAACTAAAAGAAATAGGAGAACCGTGCTTCAAAGGATAGAACAACTCCCAGAGAACCAGCAGCCACCCACAGAAACTCTGGCCGGCTATATGTATAGTACACATGAGCCTATACTTGCAAGTATGTACTTAAAAGGGAAAATTTAAGGATAATCTGAGTCTCACATGGCCCAAATAGGGTTCTTTCGACATGTCTGAATTAGTTTCTTGTGTGCACAGAGAAAGCCAGCTATGAGACTAATAATCAGAAATTAGGAAGTCATTTGGTTCAATGAAGTCCCTGGCTTTTGGGGAGGAACCAACAATTACAGAGGTGCTCTGGCTTCATTTGGTTTGTCTGTTGTTACAACTTTTGGTATCTTTGTACACAACCGACCTTGTTCTAATTGGAAGTGGAAAATAACTAATTAGTGGATCTGTAAGTTTTAATGCCACCTTATAATTAGGTTGGTTTTAATAAAAGGGGAATATTTGGAAATTGGGTCTCTAATGTCCTCTCCACAAATAATAATGAAACATAGACTAAAAGCATTTGAATCATTGTTTGTGTACAGGTTTCCATGTGCATTGTAAACATAAGATATTTGCTCTACCTTCCAATGGTTTGCTAAAATTAATTTGTGAAGAGCTCGATTTAATTGGTTTAAAGGCAAGCACTTGTAAAGATTGGGCATGCTAAAACTCAAAGGATAAAAACTCACCCAAATGCTTTTCAAGTTCACATGATCTGGGATAAAATTCTCCAAATTCAAATTTTTATGTTATTCTACAATAAAGACACATCACAGGAAGGGACCTAACTGATGATCCAAAGACATACGGATGAACAAAAATGTGAGACGACCCCTCTATGAATAATGAGGACGAGGAGGATGAAGACAGGCCGCCACTAGACATTCTAAATCCACCCCTGCTCTCCAAGCACAAGCATCAGTGCCCAATCCACTGCCTGCTCCTCCATCTCTTCTAGAGGGCTGAAATGCAACGAGGCAGGAGATGGAGATTTTTTTAAAATGTTATTCCAAAACTTTAAATCTGCCTCCAGCCTTGCCAGCAGCACCCCTGCTTCCTTTGTCTCTGCCTCCTCCTGTTCCCTGGACCCCACCTGGCCAGCTCCTATGCCATCCCTGGTGCCTCTACCACCTTCTCCTCCTACCCTCACTATCAAGGAGGAAAAGGGACCCCAAGCTATTGCGCTACCTCCTTAAGGGTTTTATTCTAAGATTCCTATTCTAAAATAAACTGAAGCACCTCCCAAATCAACATGAAGGAGCCCAAGGACTACCTCGAACTAAACCACTCACTTCAGATTTCCCCACAGAAGTCCAAAGGAAATTGACCATTGGGAAACAAACTGACTTTTCAGGGGATACAGATGTAATATATTCAGTATTAAAGCTAAACCAAGGCTGTTGGTTTAACTAAAATAAACATGCCTTTAGAGTTACCAATGTCAAATATTACACATATAACTCACTTTTGTTCTACTTGAATTTATTTATTTATTTATTTATTTATTTATTATTATTTATTAAAGGATTTTATTTATTTATTCATGAGAGACACAGAGACAAGGCAGAGAGGGAGACATAGGGAGACACAGACATAGGGAGACACAGACATAGGGAGAGGGAGAAGCAGGCTACTCCCAGGGAGCCTAATGTGGGACTTGATCCCAGAACTCTGGGATCACACCCTGAGCCAAAGACAGATGCTCAACTGCTCAGTCACCCAGGAGCCCTCTACCTGACTTTTTAAAGTTTGTGTTATCTCTGTTCCAATCTCTTAGCAGGAGAGGACTTGAAATGTTGTTGATTTTGTATTTGTCACGAAGTTTTTATGGCTAATTGTTAAGAATAAGTAGGTCAAATAAATAAAAAGGTTTACAGATAAACTTTTAAATAGCTTCCAAACAAAACATTAAAAAAAATAGCTTCCAAAAAATCATTGGTTACCCAAAACTTTGAAGTTTTGCTAAGTTAAATGATAAGTTTAAATTCGTTGAATATCTAATCTTATCCAAATAAGATGAAATACTAATACCACTGAATGTGTTTGTCTGCTCTTGGCTTCTTATTTCAGAGAAACTAAAGATATTTGAGTTAGTTGGTAAACATGCTTTGTGCCTTATTGAAAGATTGTACTATGAAAAGAAAAAATGTTTAATTTTTTTTTATTTACTTATGATAGTCACAGAGAGAGAGAGAGAGAGAGAGAGAGAGAGAGACAGAGACACAGGCAGAGGGAGAAGCAGGCTCCATGCACCGGGAGCCCAATGTGGGATTCGATCCCGGGTCTCCAGGATCGCGCCCCGGGGCCAAAGACAGGCGCCAAACCGCTGCGCCACCCAGGGATCCCAGAAAAAATGTTTAGAGAAATTATAAAATATATTCATAAATTTGCCAATCTAAAGAATTCTGAGATCATGACTCACAATTTGTTACTAATTAGTTTTCACAGGAGACTAAGTTTTTCAGAATTAGGATTCTGATAAATATGACTGAGACTACTAGAAAATGATTTTAAAAAGCAACTCTGTATGTAGGAAAATATGAGGTATATTAGAACGGTATAAGGAATGAAAAAACATTTTTGTTGATGGAAAAGAAAATAATTTTATCCTGAAATGAGACTGGTTATTTAGAGAGGTAAAATGTAGGATGAAATCTAAATAAAAAAGAAAGTTGTAGAAGATTTGTGAAGGTGAATCCTTGAAAAAAATTTTATGTGTGGTCAGGACTAAGATTGGAATAAAGTAATTTTATTTTTTTTTTATTTTTTTTTTTTTAATTTTTATTTATTTATGATAGTCACAGAGAGAGAAAGAGAGAGAGGCAGAGACACAGGCAGAGGGAGAAGCAGGCTCCATGCACCAGGAGCCCGATGTGGGATTCGATCCCGGGTCTCCAGGATCGCGCCCTGGGCCAAAGGCAGGCGCCAAACCGCTGCGCCACCCAGGGATCCCAATAAAGTAATTTTAAAAGTATACTGATAAGGGGAGGCTGGGTGGTTCAGTTGGTTAAGTGTCTGCCTTCAGGTCAGGTCATGATCCTGGGGTCCTGGGATCAAGCCCTGAGTAAGGTTCTCTGCTCAGTGTAGAGCCTGCTTGTATATGCTCTCTCTCTCTCTCTCTCTCTCTCTCTCTCTCTCTCCTTGTCAGAAAATAAAGTCTTAAAAAAAAACACTGATATAAAACTAAAATTTGGCTTTTCTCTCTGTTAATAAAAAGACAAAAGTTTCTTGGATTATTGGTCTGCTCTTGATAAGAAACCATAAACAAGGTGGTGGTTTTTCTTCCCTATTTGCCCAGAAAAACAAGGTTTCCATAGTTGTTTTTATCAGGTCTTTGCTTATTTAAAAAAAAAAACTAAATCTTCTAAAAAAAAAAAAACAAAAACAACCAAACAAAAAAAAAATCCCAAAACTAAATCTTCTCAATATTAAAGGAGCTAAGTTTTGCTAAGAACTATATATCCTTCCATAAAATCTCTTATGGCCACCTTAGTTAAGCAGTAATTAAATATTAAATTTTGTAATAACCTATGATCCTATGTAGACACATGCTTTAAAACATTCTGAGGTTAGTTTTTTTTTTTTTTAAACACACTTCCCAGAAATTCAAATCCTAAATGAAGTCTTTTTGGTATGTTAAGTTACTTAGAAAGCACTGTCAAACAAATAATGATAAATCTTAGGTTATATTTTATGGATAAATGCTATAACTGTTCTAGAAGATATATGAAATTCCTAAAGTTTTACTATGTCCTGGGTTAGATCATCACTTGATATTATGATTTTTGAAATGTTATATATCAGAAATAACTGGATTTCCTTGCCAGCTATATTATAATGAACTCATATCAGATTTTTAATCATGTTCATTTTTGAGTCTTTTGTCATTTCTAGTTATTCTCATGCTCTTACAAAATGTGTTTTGTCTTCAAGGAGATTCACAAAAGGAACTTTTGGCAAATACAGTTGTTTAATATTTTTAAGATCATAAATGTAAGCTGAATAAAAATTTCCAGAACTAATAGAAAAAATTGCATTCAAACAAAATAAGAATTAATACCATGAGGCTAAATGGATCAAAAAAGATGATTATGGGATCCCTGGGTGGCGCAGCGTTTAGCGCCTGCCTTTGGCCCAGGGCGCGATCCTGGAGACCCGGGATCGAATCCCACGTCGGGCTCCCGGTGCATGGAGCCTGCTTCTCCCCTCTGCCTATGTCTCTGCCTCTCTCTCTCTCTCTGTGACTATCATTAAAAAAAAAAAAAAAGATGATT